GTATGTATTTTATATCTTAGATTAATCTAGAAATAATTCTTTTTTTTTTGTTTGTTTAGCTAAGAATTCTTTTCTTATTTTTTCTTTTCTAAACTCATCAAAATGCTCCTTATAGTATTTTTCATACATAAAAGGAGGATCTGCTTGATAATTCATAGCTACTTGTTTTTTATGAAACTCTATGTTTTTCATAAGAGTAGGCTTATCAAATATATAAGCTTTTGTACCATCTGGATAAGTTACAACACAATACCTACATTCCTCGTAAAAATCTGAACACATATATGTTCATCTTATTCCTCCCTCTTCATAAACCCGCATAGTCTTTGAGGCAAAGACAGATGGAGTAGCTTCATGAAAAGTTTCAGGATAAACCCATCTTTTCTTATCATTATCATAGTAACGATAAGCTGGAGTATGTGCATCAGGTTTACGTCTATATTTCATTTTGAATTCAAAATCTCTATTTCTAGAGTTTTCATTCTCAATTGTAGATTCTACACCTAAAGGGTTATTTCCTCCAGGGCCGGATGGCCCTGATGGTCCTGAGGGACCTGAAGGTCAGTTAGAATCAGCACCCATTGGCACATTTCTTGAAGACCCTTCACCATAATTATTACTCCTTCCTCAAGGAACCATATTTTCATATACCGAATCAAAAAATAAATCATTAAAATAATTTATATTTAATTCATGTAATAAACCATAAATATACATAGGATTATCTTTAATTACACTACATATAATTAAAAATCCTAACATAAATCTATAAAGATATAATAATTTATATCAATAATTTGGATTTAAATGTATATTTCTATAGTAATACAAAAGTATTATTCGCCTTGTTATATAAAAAAATTTTATATTCATCATCACCATATTTATATTTATATTTTTTGCTCAAAATTTTTCTGATCGTTTATTTATATATTAAAGAATATCCTTTCAAGATTTCTTATTAAAATTGTATACTTGTCTACTTTCTATTTTTAAAGCATTTTTACCTAATTCAAAAGCAAACCCTAAAGTTAACACTAAGAAAAATACTAACATTATTAATAAACCGTATATACCATTAGTATATGCACTTACTACATAAGGATATACTAATAAAATTTCTAAGTCAAATAATAAAAACAATAAAGCAAATATAAAGAAAGATATACTAAATTGTGTTCTATTTTGACCTAAAAAAGAATGAAAACCACATTCAAAAGCACTATCTTTTTCTTGATATGCATTATGTGGTGATAATATTAAATTTACTAATAACAGTATTATTCCTAATACTGGTATTAATAATAAAAAAAAAGTTGTTGTTGTCATAAGAAGAATATATTAATATTTAATTAAAAAAAAATTATTTATTTAAACTTATTTGTTATTTAAATTTTTAGAAAACAAACTTATAAATAGTTAGATTTACATCATAATAAACATTTATATTTATATAAAACTTGTCTTCATATTTATGAAAAATTTTACAGAAGAAATTTAAATATATGTAGTTTTTTAAGCTACATATAATAACAAGAAAGCCATCATTAAAGCAAACAAACCTGTTGCTTCAGCAAAGGCAAAACCTAATATTGCATAAGAAAACAATTGCCCTCTTAATGATGGATTTCTTGCAACACCTAGTATAAGTGCTCCAAATACAACACCTATTCCTACTCCTGCTCCTATTAAACCTGTAGTAGCTAAACCTGTTCCTATTATTTTTGCCGCTTGTAACATTTTAAATAATTATCAATCTTTTTACAGAACAATGCAAACAAAAAAATTTTTTCTAAACATCACTAATCGCCATATTTATCTATTTGGCAGATAATATTTATAGAATATATATAAAAATATATTCTTTATATCTATATTGTGGATAGATATTTTATATATAAGACGAGTCTTATATATGTATTTTTCATTAAAAAAATCCTAATATTAAAATCTTAATTAAGATTGTATAGGTAAACTAGCAAAAGCATGAGGTTTTGGTGGACTAGTTAAACATCATTCTAATGAACTATTATTTCTAGTGAAATAACTTGGAATGTATCACTGAATAACTGTGGAGTTAATCAAGGATATCTTGATACAGCTTTACCTTCTGTTAATTGTTTGTAAATAATAGTTAAGAAATATCATGTAGCTACAACACTAACAATAGAACCAATACTACTTATTAAATTTCAACCATAGAAAGCATCAGGATAATCACTTATTCTTCTAGGCATACCTTGTAAACCTAAGAAGTGTTGTGGGAAGAATGTTAAATTAACACCAACAAATAAAATTCAGAAATGAACTTTAGCAGCAAATTGATCGTAACTTAAACCTAATATTTTAGGTATTCAGAAGTATCAACCACTGAATAATGCAAATACAGCACCCATAGATAATACATAGTGGAAGTGAGCAACAACATAGTAAGTATCATGGAATGCAACATCAAGTGAAGCATTTGCTAAAACAACTCCACTTAAACCACCTATAGTGAATAATATAACAAATCCTAAAGCAAATAACATAGGAGGTGTTAAATGTAAAGATCCACCATAACATGTTGCTAATCAACTGAATATTTTAATTCCTGTAGGTACTGCAATAATTAAAGTAGCAGCTGTAAAGTAAGCTCTAGTATCAACATCTAAACCAACTGTATACATGTGGTGACTTCAAACTATGAAACCTAATACACCAATAGATAACATAGCATAAACCATACCTAAATAACCGAATACGTTTTTTCCAGATCCTGCAGCTATAAACTGTACTAATTATACCAAATCCTGGTATAATTAAAATATAAACTTCAGGGTGTCCGAAGAATCAGAATAAGTGTTGGAATAAAATAGGATCACCTCCACCAGCTACTTCAAAGAATGAAGTATTAAAGTTTCTATCAGTTAATATCATAGTAATACCACCTGCTAATACTGGTAATGATAATAATAATAATACAGCTGTAATAATAACAGCTCATCCAAATAAGGCTAATTTGTGTAAACGTATACCTGGACTTCTCATATTTAATATTGTTGTTATGAAATTCATAGCACCTAACATACTACTTATACCACTCAAGTGTAAACCAAAAATAGCTAAATCAACACTTGGTCCACTGTGAGATTGTATACCTGATAATGGTGGGTATAATGTTCATCCTGTACCTGCTCCATTCTCTATTGTTGCTGAGAATATAAATAAGAATAAACTAGGTACTAATAATCAGAAACTTATATTATTTAATCTTGGGAATGCCATATCTGGACCTCCTACTAATAATGGTAATAAAAAATTACCAAAACCACCGATTAAAGCTGGCATAACCATAAAGAAAATCATCATTATAGCATGAGCTGTTATTATACTATTATATAATTGATTATCTGAAATATATTGTACCCCTGGTCCTGAAAGCTCTAATCTTATAAGTACTGAAAATGCTGTACCAATTAACCCTGAAAATAATGAAAACATTAAATATAAAGTACCAATATCTTTTGCATTAGATGATAAAAATCATCTTTCTTGTCATTCAGTAGGTTGTTTAAATGTAAATACAGACCCTGTTTCTTTCTTTATTTATAGTTAAAGATTTTAAATCAACAGTTGATGAAAAATCTCTTTTTTGTGTAACCTGATAAGAAATTTCACTATAATATCCGGTGGACAAAAAATAGTAAAACTAATTATTCATTTTGAATAATATATACACATATATATTTGTATATATATATTGTATATATACATTATGATGCAATTATACTATAAAATATACTTATTTATATAAGTATGTAAATATTTTTTTTAAACAATTGGCTGTATAATACTAACTATATATTTATTATATAAATTAATCTCAAATATATGAATTTTATTTTATATGAAATAACATTTAACTAGATTATTTTGTTAAATTAGGGAGGATACCTAGACTCGAACTAGGATACTATGCCACATACAGCCGTTCTACCATTGAACTATACCCACCTATAAAAAAATTTATTAATTTAAGTTACTTTTATCTTAATATAATTTTTAGCTATTTGTCTTAAAAAATAGTATATATACACCACGGTAGCTAATTTAAACAGTAAAAGTAAACAAACCTTTATAATTTTAAAGTGTATACCTAAATCTATTTATTATTATTCAATAATAGTATTATTTGAAATCATAATTATAATTATGATAAATAGAAACTTCTATTTGTTAATTTTTTATTTTGTCTTATTTATAAATTGCTGTAAATATTATATAAAATATAGTAGGTTTTAAATTATTTTTTTTTAGTTTAATTATCTATTGTTCTTCTTTTCGTAATACAAAGGAAAATGATTTAGCAGAAAAGCCCTAAGATGAATCGAACATCTATCAGAATATTAACAGTATTCCGCTCTACCATTGAGCTATAAAGACAAAGAATTAAGAAACAGCCGAAAGAGAAAATCGAATTCCCATTCTTAATTCATGAAATTAATGTTCTACCATTGAACTATATCGGCTCGAAGTATATACAAGTATATACTATGTACATGGGCTATACACTAAATTATAGTGTATACAAAAATACACATTATAATTTATTTTATGTTGGGGCGACTCGAACACCCAATAGTAAATACCAAAAATTTATGACTTACCGATTAGTCGGACAACATAAATAAATATGGATAACAAGACTTGAACTTTGTAAAGTAAAAAACTATTCCGTCCTAAGCGGAACCTGGTTACCAATTTCAGCCTACCCATGCTAATTATACTTTGCTCGAGATAAGACTTGAACTTACACCTAATCAGCTTCAATGATTCGCTCTACCAGTTGAGCTTCTCAAGCTAATAATGTAAATATATTTGACTATTAACTAATAGTTACAAATAAATAATAATATTATAACTAAAACTAATAATATTATTGGAGTAATCAGGACTCGATCCTGAAATAACGATGTGCAAAATCGCCGTTTTACCAGTTTAAACTATAACCCCTAATATACCCGAGAAACGAGTCGAACGTTTACGGCTTGCGCCACTTAAGCTTAACTTAAGACTGTCCTACCAATTCCAGCACTCGGATTATATAAGACTAAAATGACTTGAACATTTACTCAAACCATCATGAGTGGTTCGCTTTACCGATTAAGCTATAGTCTTTGGTTGCGGACTTAGGGGTTGCACCTAAATTTTATGGGCATGAGCCATATATGTTACTATTACATTAACCCGCATTTAAGAGATAGGTGACTTGAACACCTGACCTTTCGCGTGTAAAGCGACAGCTCTACCAACTGAGCTAATCTCTTTCAACCCAAGGGAGATTTGAACTCCCGCACTAACAGTGAAAATGTTATGTCTTAACCAGACTTGACCATTGGGTCTTTATATAACATATTATACTATACCTATATTGTATACTATTTTTATAGTATATTTAACTATTAATACCTATATTGCATATTATTTATATATAGAAATATCTATTTATATCTATATTGTATATTATATATACCTATATTGTATACTATAATAGATATAATATACAAACTATACTTATATTAAGAGTAGTATATATTGTATTAGCCTAATGCAAGTATCGCACTCACTTCTACCGATTACAAAACGGTTGCATACTTTTATGCTAAAAAGGCGTTATTAAATAAAAATGATATGAAAATAACTAGTATATTAATAATAATTAGTACTTTATATCTAAAAATGTTTTCATTCTTACAACTAAAGCCTATAAATTGTTAAAACAATTAATCTCGTAGTGTTCTACTACGTATAAAAGTATCATAAAGTTCGCTTCGCGTTTAGATGCTTTCAACACTTATCTTTAACTGATGTAGCTTTCCTGCCATGCCTATGAGATCTAAACTTAAGTATAAGCATTTAGTTATATTACAATGTAATATAAATCATAAACAACAGGTAAACCAGAGATCAATATACCCAACTCCTTTCGTACGAAGGGGCTATCTTTAATCTACTTTAAGTTCCTCTAGAAGATAGAAACCATACTGTCTCACGACGTATTAAACCCAGCTCATGTAGCTCTTTAATCGACGAACAGTCGAACCCTTCATGATTTCTGCATGCATGAGGATGAGCTAAGCCGACATCGAGGTGCCAAACCGCGCACTCAATTTGTACTCTCTTGCGCAAATTAGCCTGTTCAATTTATGTTATCATAAAAGATTTTTCTTTTATTTCCATTTTTCTCAAAACGGTTCAGACTATTTCATCATCTTTATTAACTAATTTTGGGATGGAGAATTGATATTTAAATATTTTATTTTAAGTACCACTTACTCAACCTTTAACTCCAAAAGCTCCAACACGTGAAGTAGAGTTTATTACAGTATACTGTAAATTAGCTTTAAAATTACCTCTTAAAACTGGTGTTGAATAACCTTTAATAGAAGAAAAGCATTTTCTAAATTTCCTTTATATTTAGTTCTACGTTGAGATCTTGAAGCAGAAAAACGTCTAGTTAATCTACCGCAGCTTCTAATCTTACACCTGATACTCTTTTATATTTTAATATTAATATAATTTTTTTCAGATATTTTGTATTTGTTTTATCTTGCTGCACTAAATTATTAGTATCTAAATTATTAATACTAAATAATTTCTTTGATTTTTCAACTAATTTAATATTTTTAATTTTTGCTTTTCTTATTAAAACTTTAAGGTATCTTAACACATTTCTTTTTTTCTTTAATTTTAATTCTAATGGTGTGTGTAAATATTACTATTAAAATAAAAATATTTTAAATTTATTATATTAAATTCAACATTTTTATTATAAATCTTTTTTATTAAATTTATTAAACCTTGTAAATATGAATTTTCAAATTTAG